CTATAGACTAGACTAGACCATAGACTAGACTATAGACTAGACTATAGACTAGACTATAGACTAGACTATAGACTAGACTATAGACTACTATAGACTAGACTATAGACTAGACTATAGACTAGACTATAGACTAGACTATAGACTAGACTATAGACTAGACTATAGACTAGACTATAGACTAGACTATAGACTAGACTATAGACTAGACTATAGACTAGACTATAGACTAGACTATAGACTAGACTATAGACTAGACTATAGACTAGACTATAGACTAGACTATAGACTAGACTATAGACTAGACTATAGACTAGACTATAGACTAGACTATAGACTAGACTATAGACTAGACTATAGACTAGACTATAGACTAGACTATAGACTAGACTATAGACTACTATGGACTAGACAGACTAGACTACAGACTAGACTATAGACTAGACTATAGACTAGACTATAGACTAGACTATAGACTAGACAATAGACTAGACTATAGTCTGGACTATAGTCTAGTCTATAGTCTGGACTATAATCTAGTCTATAGTATGGACTACAATCTAGTCTATAGTCTGGACTAAAGTCTATAGTCTGGAATATACTTTAGTCTATAGTCTGGACTATAGTCTAGCCTATAGTCTGGACTACAGTTTAGTCTATAGTCTGGACTATAGTCTAGTCTATAGCCTGGATTATAGTCTAGTCTATAGTCTGAACTATAATCTAGACTAGACTGTAGTAGTCTAGATTATTAGTGTAGTCTGGACTATAGGCTAGACTATATACTAGACTATAGACTAGACTATTGACTAGACTATAGACTAGACTATAGACTAGACTGTAGTCCAGACTACACTAATAATCTAGACTACTACAGTCTAGTCTAGATTATAGTTCAGACTATAGACTAGACTATAATCCAGGCTATAGACTAGACTATAGTCCAGACTATAGACTAAACTGTAGTCCAGACTATAGGCTAGACTATAGTCCAGACTATAGACTAAAGTATATTCCAGACTATAGACTTTAGTCCAGACTATAGACTAGATTGTAGTCCATACTATAGACTAGATTATAGTCCAGACTATAGACTAGACTATAGTCCAGACTATAGACTAGACTTTAGTCCAGACTATAGACTAGACTTTAGTCCAGACTATAGACTAGACTTTAGTCCAGACTATAGACTATAGTCCAGACTATAGAGTAGACAATAGACTAAACTATAGACTTGACTATAGACTAGACCATAGACTAGACTATAGACCAGACTGTAGTTCAGACTATAGACTAGACCATAGACTAGACTACAGTGCAGACCATAGACTAGACTACAGTACAAACCATAGACTAGAGTCCAGACTATAAAGTGGACCATAGTCCGTCCTACCGACCAGATTCGAATCCAGACTGTAGCTAATAGCAAATTCTGCAACTTCCTACAATTTCAAAATCCTCCTCCTTTACAGTTTTATATTTTGTTTTTTTTTTCCATTTTATTTATAAACCACTTACTTTAATGTTAACAAGGCAAATAAACCAAAAATGAAAAGTTTAAAAATTATTCGCAAATACCATTAAAAATGCAAACTATACACAGGAATGAATTGTTTACGAAATTTTACAGCAGATTTCTACAAAAGGCGTTAAAAGTGTAGATATTTTTCTTTTTTTGCTGAAATTTACAAAACATTTTTTGTGAATAGTACAACAATAGTGTTTTTTTGCACTTTTTCAAAATATTTTATTGCTCAGTTTTATAAACATTAATATTTCAAATGTAAACATTAATTATAACAAATAGTTGATTTGTAAAATAAATGTAATTTAATTTTTTTTTTTATTTACTGTTTTTTATGATTGTGTTTTTATTAGATATTTACTTACTTTATTGTAATAAAAATTCTAAAATAATAAAATGTGATTGTAAATTGATTGTTTTGCTAGATGATGTCTTTGATAATTTAATGTTTAATTAAAGAGTTTTTTGTTTTGTATTGTTTAAGGCGGATCTGTCTTTTTGATTAAGGAGAATATATAGTAATGGATTTTTTATGTTTTTTTAATAATAAAGTTTTGCTAGAGTTTAAAGTGTTTTATAAGTTGTAAAATTTCAATTTCTTTCAAAAATTCTATCTTCAGAGAAAAATCTGTTATTAAAAGCCTAAATTAGGTTTTTTATTAGAATGTTAATATCAACTAAAGTAAATGTCACTGCTTATTAACAGAAATAAAATAAACAATAAATTTAATACAAACAATTAAAAGAAGTTTAAAACTGTAGTTGACATTATGGGTTTTAGTTTTCGAGAAGAAAAAAACAGAATTATGAACTTTTGTTTAAAAAGATCGAACGATATTAAACAACTTAAACTAAACCAAACAGGGCGTTAATAGAAAAATTCTTCTTTTAAATACTTTTTTCAATAAGCTGAACCAACATGTTCAAATTTCAGGGAGTGTTTGACATCGATAATTTAAACTGCTTTAAAATGTTAAAAACAATAAAAATATTTTCCTCAAAGGTTATTAAAAAAAAGATTTAAAACAAACTAGAGTTTAAATTATGAAATTTCTTAAATATTTACAATTTCAAATTAAATAATTTTTTCAATTACTTTATCATACACTTGTTTTTATGTAACATTTCTAGTTATTGATTTGTTTTCTAGAGAAGCAATAACATTATTTATTAATCAATAAAATCATTAACAATTTAAATCATTTAAATAAAGCAACAATAACATTTAAGTGTGTGTGCTCAAGATGTTCAATTTATTTTTTCATTTTTTTTTTTCAATAAAAAACCTCTCAAGTGTTTTACATCTTCTTTTTTAGTACTTGTTTAATAATTATACAAAGACTAGGAAAAAATTAAAAAAAAAAAAAACAACAACTACCTGATATTAACAAAAAACACTTGCAGATGAATAAATAATTTATTTATTAATTGTTTATTTAGAAATAAATTATAAAAAAATACATTAAACTTTTCATACCAGTAGTTGAAAAATAGTGTACATTGTTAAACTGGAAATTTTATTAGTGTATTAAGTCATGCAGGAATTTGAAATTATTTAAATGTCTCTATTTATAGAAATTTGTAACAAAGATTCAGAATGCTTCAGAAACTTCTTTATAGACAAAAACATGTCAATACCATCGAACTGACTACAAACTAGAATATTCTCAAGACCACACTAAGTGAAGAATAGTCTAGTTTATAGTCAAGTCTATAGTCTAGTCTATAGTCTAGTCTATAGTCTAGTCTATAGTCTAGTCTATAGTCTAGTCTATAGTCTAGTCTATAGTCTAGTCTATAGTCTAGTCTATAGTCTAGTCTATAATCTAGTCTATAGTCTAGTCTATAGTCTTGTCTATAGTCTAGTCTATAGTCTAGTCTATAGTCCAGTCTATTCTATAGTCTAGTCTATAGTCTAGTCTATAGTCTAGTCTATAGTCCAGTCTATTCTATAGTCTAGTCTATAGTCTAGTCTATAGTCCAGTCTATTCTATAGTCTAGTCTATAGTCTAGTCTATAGTCTAGTCTATAGTCTAGTCTATAGTCTAGTCTATAGTCTAGTCTATAGTCTAGTCTATAGTCTAGTCTATAGTCTAGTCTATAGTCTAGTCTATAGTCTAGTCTATAGTCTAGTCTATAGTCTAGTCTATAGTCTAGTCTATAGTCTAGTCTATAGTCTAGTCTATAGTCTAGTCTATAGTCTAGTCTATAGTCTAGTCTATAGTCTAGTCTATAGTCTAGTCTATAGTCTAGTCTATAGTCTAGTCTATAGTCTAGTCTATAGTCTAGTCTATAGTCTAGTCTATAGTCTAGTCTATAGTCTATAGTCTAGTCTATAGTCTAGTCTATAGTCTAGTCTATAGTCTAGTCTATAGTCTAGTCTATAGTCTAGTCTAGTCTAGTCTAGTCTAGTCTAGTCTAGTCTATAGATCAGACTATACTTAAATTATTAACTGTAAATAAAACTTTCAGACTAAGAATTCTTCAAACTTTCATTTTCATTTGCTCTTCATTCAAAAAGAACAAAAGAAAAACATTTTTTTTCAAATTAGCTCCAAAAGAGTTTAATTAAAAAAAATACTCTTCGAATTAAATAAAGGCAGCAGCAACAATAGCAACAGCAACAAGTCAGCAGCAGTCAATCAAATAAAAGTCTAAACAGATGATCATGGCGATCATGACGTTGGAGCAATTGTCTGTCTGGAAAAATAAATTGGCCAAAAAAAGTTTGAACAATAACAACAAAAAAATGAACATCATTAATATTACGCTCATTATTAGCAACATTATTGTCTAAAACATAATCTTGTTGATCATGAGGATGATCACAATTTGAATGTTAGTTTTTATTGTTTCCTAACAATAACAATAGAAATAGAAAATTACTCTTCAAAGAGTAATTGAGAGTGAAATACTCAGTTTGAGTTTTAAATAACTGAAAGAAGAAAAAATAAAAGTGGGAAGAAATACAGCAGAAAAAAACTTCTAATATACAACATTATGAACAAACAAAAATATAACTTAATGATCATAATCAATAGGATGAGCAAAATGATGATGATCTAGAAGATCATGTTCATTATACATTGTTGGTTAAACATTTAAACAAAGCAACAACAACAACAGTTCATTATTGTTTATGATGATCATGAGAATGAGGAGGATGATAATGATGATCGTAACTAAAGAGCAGCAAACAGACAGAGTAAAATGTTTTGAATTTAATAGTAAGTAGTTGATTTTGATGTTGTAGTACTTAACTTTTATTTTTTGTTGTTGTAGTAGAGATGGTAGCAGCAACTGCTCACCCAACTTATTGTTGGCAACTCCAGTTTAAATATTTGTTATTGTTGTTCACTGTTGTTGCTGCTGCTTCTAATGTTGTTGTTGCTCATTGTTTGCTGTTTGCCGCAGCGACAGAATCATCCGCATCATCTGTAATTGTTATAAAAAGCAATGCATCGCTGTTTCAAACCCTAATTCAAATCTAACGTGTTGTTTCGAACGGTTTATACTTTTTATAATAATAATAATAAAATACTACTCTGTAGCAAAATAATTGAAATATCACACAAACAAAATAAAAAACAAATTTAATATAAAATACAATTAACGTTTACGTTTAATTTAATCAAAATAAAAGAAATAAACTGTTTGTTACAAAATACCTATAATTGTATAGAGTAACCTTTTTTTTGCAAGTATATAATTTGAAAAAAAGGATTAAACGAAACGCATATAAAGGATTTATATCTTTTATATAATGGATTATTAAAAGTGTTCTATTGTTAAAAAACGGGAAAAGAGTTTTAATAAAAAAAAAAAAAATAAAACGCGTAAATCAATAATTTAATTCTGTCTGTGCTCGTTTTTGGATTACAAACTTTTGGTGAAAAAATGTTGTCAATGAAAACTTTTGTTTTAATTGTGAGTATTGGAAATTGTAAAGTATTTAACGAATTTTATTGAAATTTTAAAAGTGTTGGTTGTAAATATTTAAAATAAAATTGAACTGTTGTAAAATAATATAAATACGAATGTTTATAAGAATTTTGCAAATATTTTCAAATCGAATACTATTCTCGCTCCGAAATACAAATATTCTTAATTATGCTACTGTTTCCGAAAATATTCGGTTGTTCAAAATATAGACAAGATAACAGTCTATACCATAGACTATAGTCCAGACTATAGATTCGATTATAACCTAGATTATAGTCCAGACTATAGACTAGACTATAGTCCAGACTATGGACTAGACTATAGTCCAGACTATGGACTAGACTATAGTCCAGACTATGGACTAGACTATAGTCCAGACTATGGACTAGACTATAATCCAGACTATAGTATAGACTAGACTATAGTCGAGACTACATAATAGACTATTGTCCAGGCTATATACTAGACTATATTGTAGACTATATACTAGACTAAAGTCTATGCTATATATTAGACTATAGTCTTTGCTATATACTAGACTATAGTCCAGACTATATACATAACTATTTTCTTTAATAATGCAGACTATAAACTAGTCTATAGGCCAAACTATAGTCAAGATTATAGACTAGATTATAGTCCAGACCATAGACAATAGACTAGACTATAGAGAAGAATAGACAATGGTCCAGACTATTGGCTAGACTATAGCTGATTCTATAACAAGATTATATTCCGAACTATAGGCTAGATTTAAGTCCAAACTATAGACTAGATTATAGTCCAAACCATAGTCCAGACCATAGTCCAAACCATAGTCCAGACTATAGTCTAAAGTAAACTCGAGACTATAGTCCAGACTATAGTACAGTCTATAGTCCAGACTATAGTGCAGACTATAGTCCAGACTATAGTCCAGAATATAATCCAGACTATAGTCCAGACTATAGTCCAGACTATAGTCCAGACTATAGTCCAGACTATAGTTCGGAATATAGTCCAGACTATAGTCCGGAATATAGTCCAGACTATAGTCCGGAATATAGTCCAGATTATATTCCTGACTATAGTCCAGAATATAATCGTGACTATAGTACAGACTATAGTCCAGAATGAATATAGTACAGAATAGTCCAGACTATAGTCCAAACTGTAGTACAGACTATAGTCCAGACTATAGTCCAGACTGTAGTCCAAACTATAGTCCAGACTGTAGTACAGACTAAAGTCCAGACTGTAGTACAGACTAAAGTGCAGACTATAGTCCAGACTATAGTCCAGACTGTAGTACAGACTATAGTCCATACTATAGTCCAGACTGTAGTACAGTCTATAGTCCAGATTATAGTCCAGACTGTAGTACAGACTATAGTCCAGACTGTAGTACAGACTATAGTCCAGACTATAGACCAGACTGTAGTACAGACTATAGTCCAGACTATAGACCAGACTGTAGTACAGACTATAGTCCAGACTATAGACCAGACTATAGACTAGACAACAGTCAAGACAATAGACTTGGCTATAGTTCAGACTACAGACTATTTCTTTAGTAGTGCAGACTATAAACTAGACTATAGACTAGTCTATAGGCTAGTCTATAAGCTAGACTATAGTCCAGATTATAGAGTATAGTTCAGACCATAGACTATAGACTAGACTACAGACAAGATTATAGTCCAAATTTTATACTAGGCTATAGTCCAGACTATTGACTAGACTATAATCCAGACTACAGACATGATTATAGTCTTAATTATAGTCAACATTTCTGTTCAAACTATAGATTAGATTAAAGTCCATACCTAGACTATATTCCAGTCTATAGACTATAATTATACTAGCCTACACCGCTAAACAATACACTGGACTGTAGCCTAGACTATAGACTAGAAACCAATTTTTTTAGAACTAAAAACTTGACTTTCCATTAAAATTTTGGTATTTCATATAAAATTTAATTTTTTTCACTAAAAAAATGGTTTTCACTAAAAATGTGTTTTTCTTATAAAAACCGATTTTTCGTTAAAATTGCGGTTTATCACTAAAAATTCGATTTTTCACTAAAAATTCGATTTTTTCACTAAAAATTCGATTTTTTCACTAAAAATTCGATTTTTTACTAAAAATTCGATTTTTTCACTAAAAATTTGATTTTTCACTAAAAATTTGATTTTTCACTAAAAATTTGATTTTTCACTTAAATGTGAAAATCTACAGTTTCACTAAAAATACGAATGTATTTTCGCCATTTTACTAAAGCTTAAGTAAAATTAATATTTTATCTCTTAGTGGTTATAATCAGCAGAACATACATACATACATAAATGCTAACTGGACATTACTTTAAATTCTTCCTTATATTATCATAATCATATCCTGTTGTTATTAGAAAATATTTTAATCAATTTAAAAGTATTTTTCTTTATCCAATTACCAAGTACTTAGTGGTTTCTATAAAATCTTTCAAATCCTTCTTAGATTTGTTTTATAATTCCACAAAATTTTGTTTATATGATTTGTCAAGGACTTAAGCTCAAATCTAATTCTAATACATTTGGCAGCAAGCAGTGTTGTTTTCTTGGGTGCTAAATATTCAACAACAATGTAAATAGATTTTCTTAGCTGGATACTACTTGCAAAATGTTGTAATTTATTTATTTTACCATCCAAAATCAGGAGTAAATCATATCATATTGTTTAATAATCAAATACATACAGAAGAGAAATATACTTAAATATGTATATGTAGGAACTAACAAGAATATAACATTCTAGATTAATGATTAGTTGGAACCGGTAGATCGGGGGACTTGTCCCGTACTTGTACTTTTATAGCATGAAACAGAACAAATGTTTAATGTGTTTACTCTTTAGATTACTTAGAGCCAATAACATGATATTTGACTACCCTTTAGTTTACCAGGAATGTATATAGTAAACAATTGTTATTTCAAAATTGTAGGAAACTATTGTCTTTGGAGGATATATATTATGTTCCACCCAAACTGCTGAGATCTTATATAAACAATATCTATTTAGTTTGGTCCTTCACAAATACATACATATTTATATAAATTTGTATGTTTTAAGTATATATACATAACTGTCACAATCACGTATATTTCTATATAACTTACACTTCTTCTTCTACTTCTTTTTCTAAGAGATTTCCCTGATAAAATATACAACGTAAATAAATCTTATAAACAAATCATGGTCAAAAAGATAAAAATGTCCAGCTTAAATGTTAAAATGTCCTTTAACAAGGATTTCTTGTTGTTGTTATTATTCTTTTGTCTTTTCTTTGTTAAATACACATGTTGTATGTAGTAAATGTCTGTGTGCATGTTTAAACATGTTCATATTTATTATTATATAAAGAACATACTTATGTATATAAACATTTAGTATAAATAAATTCTTTAGAAAAATGTTTATATAAGTATTGTCTATTATTATTATTGCAAAAAAAAAAAAATCTTATGAAATTGTTTTCAAGTTTTTCTTTGTGTTTTTTAATTCGTAAAGAAATTTTGTCTAAATTATGCAAAGAATTTGAAAAACTAAATAAAGATTTTTGCAAGAATATTAAATGAAATTTTTAAGTAAATATTTCTTTATAAAAAAAAACTTTATTGTTGATAAACACATAATAATCAAAGAATATTTATAACTTTGATTATACAGTTGTAAAAGTATTTAAAAATAATAATAATGTTGCAAATTGATTGAATTAGTAAGTTATTAGAAGGGCGAGACAAGCGAGAAAGTTTGAATGACGAAAAAGTACCAAAGAGTACCCTTTTATAGATTTTCATTCTATCAGGAATATTAAAAAAGATTCAAAAAGTACCAGTTGAACAACGAAATATGTAGTACGAAAAAACTCTTATAGAAAAAAGTACCAAAAACACTTATAGATTTTTATTCCATTCGGATGCGATATGCCTGATATTATAAATTCTCATTTAATCAGTATACTGCGTGTTTAATTTATCGTTTCCAGGTTCAATATTATAAAATATTCAAAAAGTACCAGTTTGAAAAACAAAAAGTACTAAAAAAATATACTCCTATAGATTTTTATTCCATCAGGATCCCATTTGTCTAATTATATGTTTCTAGTTTCCATATTGCAGAAAAATCAAAAAGTACCAGTTGAAGAACGAAAAAGTACCAAAAATTCTTGCCTACAGATTTTCATTTACTCAGGACTCAGAATGCTTAATTTTATGTTTCCCAGGTTCAATATTATAGAAAATTCTGCGCAGATTTAGCTGACTATAGTCTAATATATAGTCTATAGTCTAATATATAGTCTAATATATAGTCTAATATATAGTCTCTAGTCTAGTCTATAGTCTAGTCTATAATCTAGTCTATAGTCTAGTCTATAGTCTAGTCTATAGTCTAGTCTATAGTCTAGTCTATAATCTAGTCTATAGTCTAGTCTATAGTCTAGTCTATAGTCTAGTCTATAGTCTAGTCTATACTCTAGTCTATAGTCTAGTCTATAGTCTAGTCTATAGTCTAGTCTATAGTCTAGTCTATAGTCTAGTCTATAGTCTAATCTATAGTCTAGTCTATAGTCTAGTCTATAGTCTAGTCTATAGTCTAGTCTATAGTCTAGTCTATAGTCTAGTCTATGGTCTATTCTATAGTCTATTCTATAGTCTAGTCTATAGTCTAGTCTATAGTCTAGTCTATGGTCTAGTCTATAGTCTAGTCTATGGTCTAGTCTATAGTCTAGTCTATGGTCTAGTCTATAGTCTAGTCTATAGTCTAGTCTATAGTCTAGTCTATAGTCTAGTCTATAGTCTAGTCTATAGTCTAGTCTATAGTCTAGTCTATAGTCTAGTCTATAGTCTAGTCTATAGTCTAGTCTATAGTCTAGTCTATAGTCTAGTCTATAGTCTAGTCTATAGTCTAGTCTATAGTCTAGTCTATAGTCTAGTCTATAGTCTAGTCTATAGTCTAGTCTA